TAATTCATTTGAGATGTGTGTTAGCTCCCCATATCAACAAATGAAAATGTCATTCCACATATCCTGGAAAGCAGTGATCCCATGAACAAGGAGCATGAGGTCTGAATTCTCAGTTTTCTGATTTTGTAACAGTGATATAATTTTTTTAAATATCATTAATCAAGTCAGTCTTTCTGGCAAGAACGAGGCGTCACAGGCAATGGGGCAGCAAAATCAGAGCTCATCTATAAATTAGGGCACTTGCATATTAGCACCACAAAGGAACTCATCCATATAGATGTGTTCTTCATTTTGCATTTGAGGCACCCATAGTTGGAAGCATAGAGGCTATTACAATTCATACAATTGACATCAGAGCCAAGGCTGAAGTGCTCCTCAGGAATCATTCCAGAGCTCTTTGCTCTTCCCTGTGACTGCACTGAAATCTGCAAATTTTGTGCTGATCAGAAAGCCATGCATTTGAAGCTCAAAGATTATAATTCTGTTGAGAACTAGTAACGATATTTGGCACCAAGCTTTAGCCATTTGTCTACAAGAACAGCTGGCCTTTCACATCTTCAAATCCATGTTTCACTACATTATTGATAATCATCAATACAAAAGATATGTAAGCAAATCATCACATGCTTCCTGTATTTATTCCCTATGTAATATAGCATAACAACTACTTGCATAAGACATTTAGAGATGTCTTAAGTATAAAGGGCATGGGGGTGTGCAGAGTTACATGCACATATACTATCCTATTTTATATAAGGGTAAGTATCCACAGACTTTGATGTTTGAGAGGATCCTGGAACTCATCCCTGTGGATGCTGAGGCATAACTGTCCAGGAAGTTCTTGTGAGAAAGTCTCACTTTAGAGTTTCATCATCTAATAGAGGAGCATAAAGGTGCAATAAACTATATATGAAACCCATAAGATATTTTAACCACATATAGCTTTGAGAACTCTGTAATCTAATTAAAAATTATAAACAAACAAAAATATCTGTGTGAAATTCCTACATGAATTCAGGCCAGATCCATAATCCAGCTGATCTAGGTCTAACTATGTCTAACTTCAGAGTCCTAGACCTGATTCTTGCCTGAATCTTAAAAGCATCCAAGTTCCTCTTTTACTTTAGGAAAAAGGTTCTCTGATACTTAACTTTAGAGCAGAAAGTATTCAAGTCTCAATAACCAATAACTTTAAATTGTTTTCAGGAGCCACTTAGTTGTGATTTCTAAATTGTAATACACACACACACATATATTATACACACACACACACACACACACACACACACACACACATATGGTGAGAGAGAGGGAAGGAGAGAGTTTATTTTAGGGAATATTTTGTCAGGAGTACATAAGAAAGTATTAAAGGGATTAGGAAAATAAGAACTGAAGAGTCAGGCTTAGATTTAAAAAGAATCACACATTTGTTGAATTATTTTATCTCTTAGTATATTGAACCTGCTGTGAATATTAGTATTTTCTTGCTAATTTTAAGCACAGAGACATTTTAGCACTGGACTAACTTATTGTTCAGAAAGATCATCATCAATAATAGTGGATCAATAATAGTGGATCTCAGATGAAAATGCAATGTTTCACTAAATGATCAAAATCATCAATATAAATGGTATTTAAACAGATCATTATATTCATTGCCATCTAGCTGTAATATAAACTACAATACTTATGAGGAAAAAAAGTCTTAAGAATCATTCCATCACGTTAATCAAGGCAGGCTAAATGTAAAAGTTAGAAAGATTATTGATTTCCTAAGGCAACTTACAAATAAAGGTGAGCTGGTATTCTTAACATGAAACAAAATATTGAACTCTGCCCTTCAGGCATCCACCATACTTTAAATGCTGATCTTATCACTGCTGGCAAGTCAAACAGAGTTGGACTTTAAAAGGAAGAAAGGGAAACCCTGGAGCCACTGGGAAGCTTCAGGGGTCAGTCAGTCGTGATTCCGCTCAGAACTCACCCACGCTCAGCTCACAAGGCCTATAGAAGGACTACTTAGCTTTCAGTTGACATTTTTCAATAAAAACATACAATCAGCATCTGAAATACGATCTAGAAAGAGCCATGTCCTGAAACTGATTTTCTATTCCATTTGGCATCATTATATTTGTGGACAGGAAATAGGACATCTTTGTATCTGGCATTTGAATCTTGCATGAAATAAATCATTATCACAAATTATCAAATACTAATGAAAAAGAGAACTGGAAATTGGCATAGAGTGAGATGGGGATTTTTCTTAGGTGATTTTTAAAGTAATGATCACAACCTGTTTGTGTGCTTGACTGTGTATTTTGCAATACATTGTGAAGTCTAGTTTTTAATTGTAAGTGCAAATTCAAAGCCCCCCAAAGATTGGGAGCGATGCCTATAGTCCTAGCTAGCTACTAAGGAAGTGGAGACATGAGGATTTCCACTAAAAGCCAACCCTGGCAGGAAAGTCTGTGAATCTCTAATTAACCACCAGAAAGCAGAGAGCTAAAGTGATAGAAAGAGTTCCAATTTTGAGCTCAAAAACCTCAGGGAGTCAGGAGCAGGTAGCTAGAGCCTAATTCTACCTAGTCAGGAGGCTGATATCTGAGGAGCACAGTTCAAAGCCAGCCCATGCAGGAAAGTTTGTGAGACTCTTATTTCCAATTAACCAGCAGAAAACCAGAAGTAGAGCTGTAGCTCAAAGTGGTAGAACACTGGCCTTAACAGAGAAAGCTGAAGTGCAATACCCAGGCTCTAAGTTCAAACCGCACAACTGACAAAAAAGAAAAGAAGAAAGAAAGAAAAAAAAAAAGCTCAGGAATATTGCTAGTTCAAATCCCAGCACTGGCATGCTGCCTTGCACGCTCTCTCTCTCTCTCTCTCTCTCTCTCTCTCTCTCTCTCTCTCACACACACACACACACACACACACACACACACACACACACTTCTCCAAAGATCACACGCACTGAATAAGGTTTTGTGATTCAATTAGATGTTATTTGTTTGCATTATTATCTTCCTTCTTTTTAAAAAGTTTCTGAAATTTCCACCTCTAACTCTCAGAGATCAACTGCCCAGTGGCTTTGTGGAACTGAACCTGCTATCTCTCAGAGATGCTTGTGTTCAGAGTTGTTCTGTGGTCTGGAAAAAGCTGCATGTGTCAGCCAGGGATCAAAATCCTCACCTAAGGATCTCCAGTTAGCCCCAGAAGGTTAAAAAGACAGGCATGGCATGTCTTCCTGAATTTACCCAAACAAGCACCTGCATATCTTTAATTCAGAAATTTCAGAGGGCATTCACAATTCTTACAGATGTCTCTTTTTCAAATTCCAAGTACTTTTTGAAGAGGAAAAGAGTAGAATAACTATTATCTCAATTCTTTGTTCCTGTGTAATAAACAGATTTGTATGATTAGGGGAAAAAGCATTACTGGGAGTAAACAAGGGAGGAAGTGACACCATTCAAAAAGAAATATACCCATTACCTCACTTATGCAACTGTAACCCCTCAGTACATCACCTTTACAATTATAGTAATTTTTTTAACAACGTTGCCTGTGGATAAAAATACCTGGATCGTAAAAAAAAAAAAAACACAAGAATACTTGAAGAACCAATTTTAAAAATAGTTGAGTTTAAATTTTGAGAGTTTAGGGTGAAGGAGGTCATTGGGATGGGCAGAAAACCTATAAAAAGGAATCTGTACCACGAAAAACAGACAGACACCAGGGGGCAGGAAGAGCTCAAGCTGTGACTTCAATCCGGGGTGGCTGAAATGGGATCTCAACTATTTTAGTTCGCCCTCCGGGTATTTATCAATTCTCTTGGCAAGCAAAGAAACTTGATGCTGACAAGTGGGTTGAGTTTGTACTTGGTCTAATCGTCTGTAATGACAGCTCTCTCGCTCAGCCCCGGCTCTGGAAAAGCCTGGGGCTACATTCCCTAAAACTTATTCTTCGGTGCGAGTCTAGCCATTCTGATGCGAGTGCATTTCTCACGCATTCCAAATACCTGAAAGTTTGTTGTTGTTGTTGCTGTTTGGTTTCCCTTTTGCTCAGTGAATGTTGATTGCAAAGGAGTTTGTGAAACAAAACAAAAACCTCACCAGTCCGAGGTAATCTATGAGAAATCCACGTGGGGCGGGCACTGGGTGGGGAGACCTTGTTCCAGCTTCTCATTTCAGTTGCGCTTTTGTGTGTTTGTTTGTTTAATAAGCCCCAGAGTTTCTTCTTCTAACACTGCCTTGGGTTTCGGTGCAAACTCCTGCTACTCTGTCTTTAACTTTCCACTTAGGGTTTGCAAGTTTTTTTTTTTTTTTCTTCATTGATAGCAGAAGGGAGATGGGAAGGAAGGGGGGGGGGGGGGGGATGAGTTGATCCGCATCGCAGGCCGAGGAAGAACTGGATCCCTCACCGCGGGGGTGGGAGAGAGACCCTCCCCTCTCCCCCCAGCTGAAGCCGGTCAGATCCATGCGCCCTGCAAAGCAAGGGCTCCAGGCTGCGCCCCGGCACGCTCGCTCGCTCACTTCCCAGACAACCTGTTGCGCCTCCGTCCCCCAACCCCCACCCGGACCCCTCTGCCCGCCGTTTCCCCGCCTCGTCCCCCTAAGAGCTGATTGACAGGAGTCGCTACCCAACCCTGGGCTCGGGGCCTCCTCCGGGGACCAACGATTGGCCTCCTGGGGGGGGACTAGAGTAACTGGGGGAGAGGAGGAGGGATTTCCCTCAAAGCCCAGGGTCGGAGGCGGGGGTGGGAAGGGACCGGGGAGACCCGGAAAGTTAGGAGTGCAGCGGGTGGCGGAGCCAGCGGGGGCTCCAGCCCAGGACCGCGCCGCGCGCGCGCCGCTCACCACTCACCCTTCTGGGTTGAGAACCCTGCGGGCAGCGCGCGGAGGACGGGACGCTTCCCAGAGGTGTCGCCCGCCGTCTACCCCGGGGTGGGGGGACCGCTGGTGCACGCTTCCAGGCTCACCGCCAGTTCGAGCCCGAAGAACACTCGGACCATGCCAGCCACCGGGACTCCCGCGATCGCCCCCCGCGCGCGCCGCGCCGCGGACCCCACGGGCTTTCGGCCGACACCTGCGGCGCCGCCCTGGCTGCCGCTGCTTCTCCTGTCACTGGGAAGCCTCCTCTCCGCCCAGCCCGCGGCCCCCGGCGGCGCAGCCCTGCTGTCCCCGGGTCTCTCGGGGGCTGCTGGGGTCCCGGCGGAGGAAGCCATCGTGTTGGTGAACCGCGGACTCCGGGTACCTTTCGGACGGGAAGTGTGGCTGGACCCGCTGCACGATCTCGTGTTGCAGGTGCAGCCTGGGGACCGCTGCTGGGTGACCGTGCTGGACAACGACGCGCTGGCCCAGCGGCCCGGCCGCCTGGGTCCCAAGCGCTTCCCGTGCGACTTCGGCCCCGGGGAGGTGCGTTATTCTCACCTGGGCGCGCGCAGCCCATCCCGGGACCGAGTCCGGCTGCAGCTGCGTTATGACGCTCCCGGAGGGACCGTCGTGCTACCTCTAGCCCTGGAGGTGGAAGTGGTCTTCACCCAGCTGGAGGTGGTGACTCGAAACTTGCCCCTGGTCGTGGAAGAACTATTGGGGACCAGCAACGCCCTGGATGCACGCACTTTGGAGTTCGCCTACCAGCCCGAGAAGGAGGAGTGTCGCGTGGGCATCCGGCCGGGCTTGGGTGCGCTGCCTCGCTATGGAGAACTCCTCCACTACCCGCAGATCCCGGGAGGAACCCGAGGAGGCGACCCCGAGCCTCTGTTGATGGACTGCAGAGCGTTTCAGGAGTTAGGCGTCCGTTACCGCCACACAGCTTCCAGCAACTCGCCAAACCGGGACTGGGTACCCATGGTGGTGGAGCTGCGTTCCCGGGGAGCTCCGGTAGGAAGTCCTGCTTTAAAACGCGAGCACTTCCAGGTGCTGGTGAGGATCCGAGGAGGAGCTGAGAACACCGCCCCCAAACCCAGTTTTGTGGCCATGATGATGATGGAGGTGGACCAGTTCGTCCTGACCGCCCTGACTCTGGACATGCTGGCGGCTGAAGACGCTGAGTCTCCGCCTGACCTGCTGATCTTTAACCTTACCTCTCCCTTCCAGCCTGGGCAGGGCTACTTGGTGAGCACGGATGACCGCAGCCTGCCCCTCTCTTCCTTCACTCAGAGGGACCTGCGCCTTCTGAAAATTGCCTACCAGCCCCCTTCTGAAGACTCAGATGAGGAGCGTCTCTTTGAGTTGGAACTGGAGGTGGTGGATCCAGAGGGAGCAGCCTCTGATCCTTTTGCCTTCATGGTAGTGGTGAAACCCATGAACACGCTGGCCCCAGTGGTCACCCGGAACACTGGTCTTATTCTCTATGAAGGTCAGTCTCGGCCCCTCGCGGGTCCTGCAGGCGGTGGTGGACTGCAGAACTTGGTCATCAGTGATGAGGATGATCTGGAAGCAGTACGGCTGGAGGTGGTGGCTGGACTCCGGCATGGTCACCTCTTCATTCTGGGGGCTCCCAGTGGTAGCTCTGCTCCCAAGACCTTCACAGTGGCAGAGCTGGCAGCTGGCCAGGTGGTCTACCAACATGATGACAAAGATGGCTCGCTGAGTGACAACCTGGTCCTCCGCATGGTGGATGGAGGAGGCAGACACCAGGTCCAGTTCCTGTTTCCCATCACCTTAGTGCCTGTGGATGACCAGCCACCTGTCCTCAATGCCAACACGGGGCTGACACTGGCAGAGGGGGACACGGTGCCCATCCCACCCCTTGCTCTGAGTGCCACGGACATGGATTCAGATGACTCACTGCTTCGTTTTGTGTTGGAGTCTCCCTTTCCCACCATGGGGCATCTTCTTCTTCGCCAGAGTCACTCTCCTGGGGAGGAGCCAGAGCTGACCAGGGGCCCGTGGAGGAAGCAGGGAGCATTTTATGAACGAAGAGTGACAGAGTGGCAGCAGCAGGACATAACCCAAGGGAGGTTGTTCTACAGACACTCTGGGCCCCACAGTCCTGGATCAGTGATGGACCAGTTCACATTTCGAGTCCAGGATAACCACGACCCTCCGAATCAATCTGGACTTCAAAAGTTCATGATACGCATTCATCCGGTGGATCGGCTCCCTCCAGAGCTGGGTAGCGGCTGTCCCCTTCGGATGGTGGTGCAGGAATCTCAGCTCACACCCCTGAGGAAGAAGTGGCTGCGTTACACTGATGTGGACACAGATGACCGAGAACTTCGTTACACTGTGACCCAGCCCCCCGTGGACACAGATGAAAACCATGCACCTGCCCCTCTGGGTACTTTGGTCCTGACTGATAACCCCTCAGTCGTGGTAACCCATTTTACGCAGGCACAGGTCAACCACCATAAAATTGCTTACAGACCTCCAAGTCAAGAGCTGGGAGTGGCTGCTCGAGTGGCCCAGTTCCAATTCCAGGTGGAGGACCGAGCTGGAAATGTGGCTCCTGGCACCTTCACCCTTTACTTGCAGCCCGTGGACAACCAGCCACCTGAGATCCTAAACACCGGCTTCACTATTCAGGAGAAGGGCCTCCACGTCCTGACCGAGACTGAGTTGCACGTGAAGGATGTTGATACCGATGTGGGCCACATCTCTTTCACTCTCACAGAGGAACCCAAACATGGCCACATGCGAGTGTCTGGACAAACACTGCATGTAGGAGAGATCTTCTATGTGGAAGACATCAAACAAGGCCGGATTTCCTACCTTCATTCCGGGGACAAGTCGTTGGCTGATAGCTGCTCCTTGGAGGTGAGTGACAGACACCACGTGGTGCCAATTACGCTTAGAGTGAATGTTCGCCCCGTAGAACATGAGGCCCCCATGCTGACCCTTCCTGCTGGGAAAATAGAATCTTATCTGGATGTCTTAGAAAATGAGGCTACTGAAGTCACGGCTAATGTTATTAAGGGGACTGATGAGTACACAGATGATTTGATGTTGACTTTCCTCTTAGAAGACCCACCCTTGTATGGGGAAGTCCTGGTGAATGGAGCTCCAGCAGAGCACTTTACTCAAAAGGACATTTTGGAGGGCTCTGTTGTCTATACCCACACCAGTGGTGAGATTGGTCAGTTGCCCAGAGCAGACTCTTTTAACCTGAGTCTGTCAGATACATCTCAAGAATGGACAGTTGGTGGCAATACTATCCAAGGTGTTACTGTGTGGGTGACCATCCTGCCTGTGGATAACCAGGCCCCAGAAATTTCAGTGGGTGAACAGTTTATAGTATTGGAAGGTGATAAAGGTGTGATCACCTCCATGCACATCAGTGCTGAAGACATTGATTCCCCAAATGATGACCTCTTATGTACCATAGTGATTCAGCCAACTTCAGGTTACGTGGAGAACATTTCTCCAGCCCCAGGCTCTGAGAAATCAAGAGCAGGGATTGCCATCAGTGCCTTCACTCTGAAAGATCTGAGGCAGGGTCACATTAACTATATTCAGAGTGTCCATAAAGGGGTGGAGCCCGTGGAAGATCGATTTGTATTCCGTTGCTCTGATGGCATTAACTTCTCAGAGAGACAGTTTTTCCCCATTGTCATCATTCCTACCAACGATGAACAGCCAGAACTGTTTATGAGAGAATTTATGGTAATGGAAGGCATGAGTCTGGTGATCGACACCCCCATTCTCAATGCTGCTGATGCCGACATCCCTCCTGATGAGTTAACTTTTGTCATCACCCAGTTTCCTGCTCATGGTCATATCATGAGCCAGCTGATAAATGGCACTGTCTTGGTGGAAAGCTTCACCCTAGACCAAATCATAGAAAGTTCCAGCATTATCTATGAGCATGATGACTCTGAGACCCAGGAAGACAGTTTTGTGATTAAACTCACAGATGGCAAGTATTCTGTGGAAAAGGTGGTCCTCATCATGGTTATTCCTGTGGATGATGAGACCCCCAGAATGACCATCAATAATGGATTGGAGATAGAAATTGGGGAAACCCAAACGATCAACAACAAAATACTAATGGCCACTGATTTGGACTCTGAAGACAAATCCTTGGTTTATATTATCCGTTATGGGCCAGGACATGGTTTTCTCCAGCGACAAAAACCTACAGGTGTCTTTGAAAATATCACACTGGGCATGAATTTTACCCAGGATGAAGTGGACAGAAATGTCATCCAATACGTCCACGTTGGGCAGGAAGGCATTCGGGATCTAATTAAATTTGATGTGACTGATGGAATAAATGCCCTCATAGATCGTTACTTTTATATCTCCATTGGGAGTGTTGACATGGTCTTCCCTGACGTGGTCAGCAAGGGAGTCTCCTTAAAGGAAGGTGGCAAGGTCACTCTCACAACAGACCTCCTCAGCACCAGTGACCTGAACAGTCCTGATGAAAACTTGGTCTTTACCATCACCCGGGCTCCCATGAGAGGCCACCTAGAATGCACAGATCAACTTGGAATCTCCATCACATCTTTCACTCAGCTCCAACTAGCTGGTAACAAAATCTACTACATCCACACAGCTGAGGACGAGGTGAAGATGGACAGCTTTGAGTTTCAAGTCACCGATGGGCGTAACCCAGTCTTTCGCACATTCCGTATCTCCATCAGTGATGTGGACAACAAAAAGCCAGTGGTTACCATCCATAGCTTGGTGGTCACTGAAAGTGAGAGCAAGCTGATCACTCCCTTTGAGCTCACTGTGGAAGACAGAGATACTCCAGACCAACTCTTGAAATTCACCATCACCCAGATCCCTGTTCATGGTCATCTCCTCTTCAACCATACCAAACCTGTCATGGTGTTTACCAAGCAAGACTTGAACGAGAACTTAATCAGCTACAAACATGATGGCACAGAGTCAAGTGAAGATAGCTTCTCTTTCACCGTGACTGATGGTACTCATACAGACTTCTATGTTTTTCCTGATACAGTATTTGAAACAAGGAGACCCCAAATGATGAAGATTCAGATCTTAGCTGTTGACAATAACATCCCCCAAATTACAGTCAATAAAGGGGCCTCTATGCTCCGCATCCTGACCACTGGCCACTTGGGGTTCATGATCACAAACAAAATATTGAAAGTGGAGGACAGAGACAGTCTACACTTTTCTCTTAGATTTATTGTGACCAAGGCCCCTCAACATGGATACCTCCTCAACCTGGGCAAAGGCAACCACAGCATCACCCATTTTACCCAAGGTATGTTTGACTTTTCTTTAAAACCAAACAATGTTCTAGGTCTTACTTCTTGAATAAATGCCTGTCCTTGAAAGCTTTATAAGTAGAGCAATAAAAGCAGAGTCCAAAGGAAGGGAGAAAGAGAAGGAGACAGTAGATTCACTTTCCTGGGGAAATGGCTCCATTTTGGTTTATATCTCATTACAGTAACTTCTCTCAGAGTGACTATAATGGATTGGGGGGGGGTCTTTTTTGTTGTTGTTTTTTGCTGGTACTACGTTCGAATTCAGGGCTTCACATTCTCTCTTGCTTTTCTGCTTAAGGCTGGAGGTCTATCACTTGAGCCACAGCTCCACTTTTAGCTTTTTTTCTGATTGATTTGAAATGAGAGTCTCATGGACTTTCCTAAGCAGGCTGGCTTCAACTTGTGATCCTCAGATCCCAGCCTCCTGAGTAACTAGAATTACAGGCGTGAGCCACCAGTGCCCAGATATCAATGTATTTTGATAGTGGCAAGGTGTACTGTTAAAAGCAGGAGCAAGACTTTGGTGAATTAAAAAAAATCAAAGCAGAATTCCACTCTGCTACATTTTCCACACCTGTCTTCTGAGCTGCTATGTTTCATATACTGCATGTCCTTCATGAAGTATTTGAGTACATTAAAGCAAAGTGTGATACTGGTTAATTGCATTCATTCACATTTAAATTTATGTTATTTTCATTATTTTTAAGAACATTTTTGTCCACATTGTTGTAGTTGTTAGGAACTTTGTAATGGGAAGAAAAACTATGTATGTATTGTCTCTAAGATTTTTATATTATGTTTATATTTTATATTTATATTTTGTGATATATTGATATAATATATAAATATATTATATTTATATTCAGACAAATACCTTTCTGAAAACCTAAGAGATAAACACCTGTCTAGAGTTGTAAAAGTTATATAGCATTGTAAGCTACTATGACAGACACACAAAAAGGGGGGAGGGGATAATGAATGAGGTATATAAAGGTTAATGATCACCTCCAAACCATACAACTATTTCACTATTCTATTAAGACTCCAAAGAAAAGTAAGCAAGATAATAGTAGATGGTGGAAATTACTTTATCATTTGTGCCCTTCTGTCTCTCTCTGCTGTTGGAAACACAATATCAGACATTGGTTTCCTCTCATACCTGCATTCCTTAGGCAACAAGATTCCTCTTACCTCAGTCTCCTGGGGTAGATGGATGCCCTTTGAAACAGGAAGGTTAGATGACCTATGCACAGTTATTCAGCAAGGGAAGGGAGAGGTTCATTCAGTGTGCTGCCTGGAGAGTTAGGGCTCCGTTCTCCAGAATGTACAACTCTCTCATTACAAAGGGATTTGTGTTGCTTTCATGAAAATCTGCCCACATTGGAATGGAAACTAGATCTACCCTGTGTGGGCTCTGTGGGTAAAGCTGGAGTCTAACCCTAGGCCATCCCCGAGCGGTATTCTTTTCCTGCAACAGTGTTCTGCACTTAGATAACAAATACTTTAATACACATGGATGTAGCAAACGGCAGTGTTAAAGTGAACTACTTCTCTGTTTGATGTTGGCAAATAGTCTCACACTCCAGCCTCCTGATTCTTGGCCCAAAGCCTGCATACATCCTAGGGCCTGTAGGGACAGGAAAACCCCAGAGTGCCAAGTGTCATGCCAGACCAGCAGGACACTTTTGTGTGAAGTCTTTCTGAGGATAGAGGGGCCTTGCCAGCTTAGCCCACTTTACTTTCATGGAAAATGAAGAGGATGAAAGGAATCTGTGAGAGGAAAGAAAATGGTACTTGCAATCTTCCTACTGAGCTGAAAAGGGAGTCTGATTTTGCAGAGTGTTTTAAAAAGAATTTTTGGATGAAGGCAGGCAAGCTATTTAAATTCTGTGGACCAAGTTCAACAGTTGTAAATATTAGAATATTATTTCTGAAATATTAAACTCTAAAATGAAGCTATTTTATCATAGTACATTGATCTATTTCTTAGTGGTTTTTGAGTTGCCATGGCTCATTTTCTTATGGCATTTGTAAAGGTAGAGTAGGTATGTTTATGATAACAATTTCTGGTGTCTTTCAAAAAATAACGTCTAAGGGGAGTTAGTCATATTTGGTAAAAACTCAAACACTGACTAGGGAAACTGTTGGTATTGAATCATGCCGTATTCATTGGAACAAGTTGAGGCTAGAGTGTGGTTCGTGGCGGTGATTTATGGAGATTAGATAAGTGTTTAAAATGGAGAAAGCTCTAGAGAGCTGCCATGGCTGGCTGTTACTCCAGGAGGAGAAAGGAGGTGGTGTTTAGAGAGAAAACTGGGCTCTCTTTCTAATTTGTCTTTTGCTTTAATCATGAGCAGAGATGCAAAACTGATGTGATAAATTTTTTTTTAATACACTGAGTTAAGTCAGTTTAGCGAAGGTGGTTCGTGAAGGTTGATTCCTAAGTTGATTGGCTTAGTGGCCCCTGGGAAAAAGAATTAATTAGTTTGTAAAACTCATCATTAATAAACAGTATAGAATTAGTCGGATTACAGAAATTGTTTACGTCAAATTTTACCTCTTTGCCAAGTTATCCCTACCCACAATCCTTCACTTTCCCCAAGGTCTGAATCACTTGTCTGGACTCTTTCTTCCTTGTGTAGAATACATAATGATGGAAGAGGGGACATTGATCAAGATGCATTGGTATTCACAAACTGACCTGTTGAGTTGAAACCCTTTTGTATAATTATTCAAAGATAGTAACTTTTTAAAAAAGAATATGTTATCATATCTTTTGTGGGATAATTTATTCATCATTTTCAGAAAAAGAGTAATGTCCCCAGATTTTGAAACAGGAATGGTTACTGAGCATATTAATGAATTACCATTTCATATTAATGAAAAACTATAGGATGATTTAGACTAGCTGAAATTAAAGCAATGCATATTCAGCAATCTGAAGAAAACCCAGTTAACCCTTAGATAGTTGATTACCTCTTAGATTTTTTTATCCTTGAGTACTTATGTACTTTAAGAAATCTGGTGTTTATACTTACATTACGTTTCTGTTATTCTTTTTTTAATCTTATTTTATTGTAAAGATGCTGTACAGAGGAGTTACAGTTACATGAGTAAGGTAATAAGTACATTTCTTTTCTTTTCTTTTTTTAAAATTTTTGTTTGTTGGTCATAGGGCCTGAACTCTGGGCCTGGGCGCTGCCCCTCAGCTCTTCAGCTCAAGGCTAGCATCCTCCCACTTGAGCCACAGCACCACTTCTGGCTTTTTTGAGTAGTTTATTGGAGATAAGAGTCTCACAGGAACTTTTCTTCCTAGGCTTACTTCAAACCACAATCCTCAGATCTCAACCTCCTGAGTAGCTAGGATTACAGGGGTGAGACAGCCAACACCCAGCTTAAGATAATATTTTGATCAAAGTCTTTACCTACCATGGAATTATCACAGTGAGGCCTCCTGGTTCTATTCATGCATGTTTGTGTGTGTGTGCACACACACATGCACACATGTGGTGTGTGTGCATGCACATGCATGCGTGCGTGTGTGTGTGTGTGTGTGTGTGTGTGTGTGTGTGTGTGTGCATTTGCATTTGTGCTGGTATTAGGGCTTGAACTCAGGGCCTCACCCTGTCACTTAGCTTTTTTGCTCCCTTGAGCCACAGCTCTACTTCTGACTTTTTACTGGAGATAAGAATCTCATGGACTCTTCTACCTGTGCTGGGTTCAAACCAAGATCTTCAGCTCTCAGCCACTTGAGTAGTAACAGACAGGAATGAGCCACTGACACCTGGCTGTTTCATTATTTTTATATAAAAATTTTAAATGTCAAAAGAAGTAATGTTGACAAAAAGTCTTTACCTACTTGAGATTTTAATAGAGTCCATTTCTTAAACCATAAATTAGTATTAACAAAGTGATGAGGAAAATAAACATGGTTTGGGTATGTGCCAATCAATGTTACATACCTTAATTTGGAAAGAAATCATGACATTTGCATGTCCTACAATTGTACTCATGTTCTATTTGCCTTTTTAAGGTAATTGGTTAATATAGATAATAAACAACTTTCTTTTTTAAAGAAAGTTCTTAAAAATAAGTCAATGCAGTGACAGATTTTTCAGATACTATCTTTTCTTACAAAATTTAAGAAAAGGTAGAGCATTGGAACAGTCATCCTCACATGATCAAGGGCATTGCCCCAAGAAAGGGATGTGTAGTCAGCAGAGTTCAGTTCATTCCTTACTGATAAAGAGAACCAACATACAAAAGCTGAATTTTCAGAGTAAACAGACCAAGAGCTGTACAGGGGAGGGGCCTGAACTGCTTAGCTCTGCAGAAACACACATGGGAGGGTACTGATACAAGTGTGAGCCAGCACCACTCAGTTCTTTCATTTCAAACTAACACTTGAGCCTTTCTTAGAGTAAGACTTTGAGCAAAGGATTATGGGAAACTAGATAGGGAAAAACACACACAACACACACAGGCAAAAGTTTTCAATCTACTGGGAAAGGTAGCCAGATAGAGAGATACAAATGACACCAGCCAGAATATGGAGGGATCCTGGTATGCAGGAGAAGAGTTCAATATTGTAACTCCTGTAAACAACAAACTTACAGTTTAGCAAAATGAAAACCAGAAAGCTGGAACAAGTGTTGTGGGGGTCAGACAGGCCAAGAGGAGGAGGGGCATAAGAATGGAGGGAGAAAGGTTGGGTAAATATAGACATAGTAGGCAATGTGCATTAGTGAAAATGGAACTAGGTCACTTTGAAGAGATAGGTGGGGTTGAAAGGGATGGGGGAAAATGATGGAAGGGGTGACATTGATTAAAACCTCTTTATACAACTACTTAACGGTAGTAATAAAAATAAAGCACACAAAAAAGACACCAGTGAGAAAGTGTGGGGAATTATTATAAACATAAACATGAGATATACCTTGGGACTTCCTTCACCTACAAGTACCTATGTTAATAAGCACATAATATTAACTCTAAAATCAGATTTTCACCTTCCTGAGATTTCTAATTATAAGTGAATCAACTTTCAGAATTGTATAATCCAGGATAGAGCATATATTTCACATCTGTTACATGGAGCTCTAGGAAATCATGAAGTAATTTGGAGATACCAAATCTTGCCTTGCTTGAGATGATTCTTCCTCTACCTTAGACCCATTGGCTTATGTCTAACACCTTTGAACTCTGTAATATGAGCTTTTAGTAGCTCTTAGGAGGTAGAAAATCCATAAAACATCACATACCTAATGTGGAAGCTATTTTTATTATGATCTGACTTTATATAACACTTGTCAATTCACTGATTGGCCCAGCTCAAGTAACAACCTATTGTTATTATCACACAATATAGTAGTTATTTGTTTTATTCTATTGTCTGGAACTGTTAAATAGATGAAAAAGAAAGTCTTAAAATGGTTTGACTAAGTACATGTTTTCTCTCATATGTGGAAGCTGGATCTGAAATACAACTGGACATGATAACCTAGACAAGATTCTTGGTATTTACACACAGACTCCAGCAGGACACTCTAAGGGGAGAAATCCACAGAGGTAACACCTCTGAACATTTTAAATGTATTGAAACAAATTCCAGGAAATGGAAACATGGGGAAGGGAGTTATTGTTTTTGTTTATGGTGGTAGTGTTCATTTTTCCTTTTGGATTTTTTTGTCTTTTATTCTGCAGTAGGCAAAAGAAGAAAGAAGGGTGAACAAATACATTCATGGTATTCAGTAAACACTATTCAGTAAACTACACATGTGGTATGCAGGGATGAGAGAGGGGAACTGGGGGAAAGCAAAGGAAGGGGTGACATTGTCCAAAAAAAGAAATGTACTTATTGCCTGACTTACAAAATGGTAACCCCTCTGTACAACACCTTAATAATAACAAAAATATGTTTTAGAAGAGAGTTTGACTTAGTAATGAGAACAAATCTATGCAAGTGGATTTTACAAAGGAACAAGCAGTATGAGGTGCATGTCTGAGAGAGTGTAACTTTCTACTAGGAATAAAAGCTTCTGTTTTTATTAGATTTGTGTTTGAGTTCTAACAATATTTAGATCTGCAGGATTTTTTAAAATCTCCTTGATTTTTTTTTGTTTTAAACTTCAAAGAGCTTAAAGTTAGAAGCACGAAAAGTGAACAAGAGTGAGGAAGCAAAGCCTTTTCCTCTTCTGTGCCTGCTGGTAGGGCCAGTCCTACAGGGAGGTAAAGGATCTGATTTCAAGGCGGCCAGGAAATCTGCCATGCTTCAAAATATCTTCGTTTCCACCTGTCATGGTGTCTAGCATTCCGTATTTAGGTAGTCAGTCACTCCTTTGGTGCCAGGAGCAGCCACACCTTGCTATTATTATAATCTAAGTCCCCAGCTCTATTTATCTGTGTAAGGATCAGATTTCCATGAGACAGCTGGAATCCAAGGGGTTTAGAGATCAGGGAACTAATAGAGCACTGGGCCCTTTAGAAAGTGACCTAAAAAAAATCACGTTTACAGAAAAGTTAATAGCCAATAGCATAAGTAACAAGGAATTGGTTGTCTTATTTTTTTCTGTTTTGTTGTTGTTGTTATTGTTTTCTAGCTGACATTGATGACATGAAAATCTGCTACGTTTTACGAGAAGGAGCAAATGCCACAAGTGACATGTTCCGTTTTGCAGTTGAAGATGGTGGTAAGTGTCTCATTCTCCTGGTAGTTAAACACAGGAGAGAAGTTTTTCCTGGTTGTTCCTCAGAAAAATTCTTACAAGGACTCTTTACTGAGTATCACATGATGCTTCTTCGAATCTATGCAGAGTGAATTTGGCAAATTGGGAACACTTCTCATTGCAATCTGGCACAACCCTATACTGTAATAACTATAGAGAAATGTTCCAGTAGTATTTTGATTTTTAAGCATTCTTGTGATTTTTAACCATGAAAGAAAGGAAGAGATGAAGAGAGTTGTATAAATGGGATCCCACGGCCATATTCCTTGTCTGAGGTTGAATGCTTAAGGCCACTGGAAGATGTTGGAATCCAACTCTTCTCCACCCACAACCCTGTGCCCAGTGATGTGCAGTTGCCCAAATGAGATACTGAGCTACACTTTCCTAGCGTGCACAGGGATGCTGTGTGAATTAATGATGGTGAATAGAGTGTTACCCTCATGAGGAACTTGGTACTAAGTAAATATCTACTTGATCTCATTAGATATCATAGTATGTCTAATGATTTTCTCAGTTTGGAGGATTTTGTGACACAGTGTAGCTAAAAGTTTTCCAAGTTTGAAAAAAAAAGCAGAGAATGGGACATGCCTATTATTACTATTTTTTTTTACTTTTGTGCCAGTATTGAGGTTGAATTCAGGACCAGGGTGCTGTTCTTAAGCTTTTTTTCTTTTCTTCTCTCAATCCTGGTGCATTATTACTTGTGTGACAGCTCCACTTCTGGATTTTTGGTGGTTAATTGGAGATAAAAGTCACGTGAACTTTTCTACCTCCACTGGCTTTGAAGCTTGATTCTCATGTCTCAGCCTGCTGTGTAGTTAGGAATACAGGTGTAGCCGTTGGCACCCAGCTTTTGATCTAAGTTTCCTGGGGAATATGATTGTCATTACTCTCCCTAAGCTGACAAGCCAGTCACTCTGCTCAGCTCCCAGTGCCAGTTCTCCCTTGGTCTGTAAAGGAAAATCTGACCCACTCTGGTATTGAATATGCATATTTTGGTTTTGTTTGCCCTCAAAGGAAACACAGGGACCTCACTAAGTACTTATGTGTATAAAGAGAGCACAGGAAGTAAGGATATGTGCAAGAGAGAAGAGAGGGGAGAAAGAATGATCTCAGTCTGATCTGTGTTCTCATGGTTCTTTTAAAAACTGATGCATATTAGGTCATCCATCTCAGAATGGTTGCATCCTTACTCTGCAGGTTTATTGAAGCATTAAATAGCATTTGTTAGAAATATCACTGGACACAATGTGATCACAGCTGAAAAATGACATCTCTTGGGTGTGTGCCAGGGAGGCTAACTTGAGTTCAACTGTTTGATTCCTACTATAAATCTGAGGCTTAATAAAGCTTATGCTGTTATTTTGAGAGTAATCAGATCATAGTTTAGTGTTCTCCATCATGATAAAAATGTATCCCAATAAAGAACAAAGTTTTAAGAAAGAAACCAACTCATAAAAATTAGTCTGGTCAGGTGCCTGTGGCTCATGCTTGTAATCTAGCTTCTCAGGAGGCTGAGATCTGAGAGTCACAGTTCAAAGCCAGTCTGGGCAGGAAAGTCCTTGAGACTTTTATCTCTAATAAGCCACTAGAAAATCAGAAATTGCACTGTGGCTTAAGTGGTAGAGCACTAGCCTTGAAGTGTAGAGCTGAGGGACAGCGCTCAGGCCGAGTTCAAGCCCTACGACTGAAAAAAAAAAAATTAGTCTGGTTATTGGCTCTTGCTGCTCAAAGGAGAAAAATTCTACTCAATGAAACTATAGAGTAAGGACCTGAAATATTCAGATATTTTTTCCAGGCATAGACTAGGTTTATTTTGTAGAATAACTGTACAAACCTCAACAGTGAAGTGCTTTTCTTTAAAATTAGAAAAAAAAACAAGTAGCTCATAGCTATAATTGTTCTAAGATACTGTAGCCTATATTTCAAAATATTTGCTTTACCTCATAAGCACACACACACACACACACAAACCACACACACACAATTATTCTACTATTCTACACATACATTGCTAGATGAAATAGTAGTAGCATTCACCTTTAAATAATTTGTCTGTATTCAAATGTTGAGAAACATTATGTAGTATTATATTTAGATATTTTCAGTGAGGAATGAGTAGGTGAAGAGGCTGGGCTTATTTTTAGAATTGCTGAGAAGTGTGGTAGGGCTTTAAAAGATGATCTTCGTGTTTGTGGAAAGAAGAAGGGAGTCTTTTCAGATTTCTTGGAGCTGCAGTTCACATGGAACTGAAGATTCCAGAGATATTTCTTCTTTACTTTCTTCCTCTCTGTAATTGTGTTATTTACGGGGTTCAGGCATACTCTGGCAAACTATTATTAAATAGCACTAACCTTAACTTTCCAGACTTGCAAAAAACTTCCCCTACATAAGATAAATGCAGAAACCTACAAGATTTGGAAAAAAATATATGTGGATCTCAAAAGTTGACTTAACCTAAATTTAAGGAAGTTTTTTTTGTACTGCCTCATAAGTAGTCTAATGTTTAGATAAGAAATTCAGTACTAAGCCCTGGCTGTAGAGATTTATTACATAGTGAGAGGTCTCCATGCCCATAAATCATTCTTAAAAGATATGTGAACCTCTTCCACTATTTTACATTTGGGAGGTCAGTTGAGCACTACAGCATAGTCAAGAACTCTCTCTAAGAGTCACATGGACTTTCTTATCCAGGCTGGCTTTGAACCTTGATCCTCAGATATGGCTTTCTGAGTAGCTAGAATTACAGGCATGAGCCATCCGTGCTTGACTCTACTCCTAATTCTCTTTCCAGTGTACTAATTCGCCTGCTTCAACTCTACAAGCTTGGGTTTAGAAGGATAGCTTTCTAAGGGAATAACTGTGCCAAACTTAACTCTTGAATAATCTAGAAAATAACCTATCACAAATGTCAGGGATCAAGAATATAAGAAGAGACTAAAACAGAAGCCCAAGCACTCTTTTCTTTTCTTTTCTTTTCTTTTTTTGGTCAATTGTGGGGCTTGAACTCTGGGCCTGGGTGCTGTCCCTCAGCTCTTCAGCTCAAGGCGAGCGCTCTGCCACTTGAGCCATAGTGCAATTCCGGTTTTCTGGTGGTTAATTGGAGATAAGAGTCTTGTGGACTTCCTTGTCCAGGCTGGCTTTGAACCGTGATCCTCAGATCTCAACCTCCTGGATAGCTAGGATTACAGGCGTGAGCCACCAGCGCCCAGCATCCAAACACTCTTGCTTCAGAGTTGTTCTCTGAGAAGCTAGCTGCCCATGGGATTCTTCCATTTTAATATGGCCATGCATGTTGGTCATCCATCACTCTCAAGGGATGGTACTTGTTTCAGAGTCACTGAATTTCAGGTTTAGTAGCACATTTATATTAATTACCAAATGACAAGAGAGAAATGAGGAATAGATAATGTCAGGCTTTTTATCTTAGGAGTACTTTACTACATGTGGGCTTAATAAATGTTGGTAGATCTAGCACTGAGTACACAAAGTGCACAGAGAGGCTTACAGCTTGGAGTTTTTTCCATTAAGCTCTAAGTCTTCTGCATAATTTATTCATGCTTACAGAATTTTGCCTTCCTAGCATCCTGGGTACAGTAAAGTAGCAACAATGAAAGTACCATGGTTCATATTTCTCAGATAAGGAAATGGAGGCATTGAAATTGGTAACTGATTACCTTCAAACTCCAAAATCATCAAGAGGCTAATTTACAGCATAGATACTTCCCCCAAATAGTGAAAACTGATCAAGTCCACACTTGTTAAGGACAGCAAGTTTGTGTCTCAACTTTAAAGATAACTGAGTACAGTGGTTTATCATCTGAGCTACCCAGGAGGTGGAGATGTAAGGATGGCAATTGGGAAACAACATGGACAAAATTAAGAGCCCATCTCAACTAACAAATTGAGTATGATGGTACGTCCCTGTGGTCTCAACTACTTGAGAGGCATTAAAGTGCATCTTAGTCTGAAATCAGCCCTGGGGGGAAAAAAGCAAGAGGCTATTCAAAAATTAACAAAACCGAAAAGGGATGGCAGCTTGTATCAAGTGGTAAAGCACTTCACCAGCAAACACCAGGGCAAGGCTTTGAATTCATACGCTAGTGCCTCATAAACAAAATAAAACAAAAACCTGAAAAGGTCCTATGGTCCTAAACTTTGTAGTACTCTTTATTGGTATCATAGTGTAGGTCCTTCAATGATTATTTAGTAATGTAATCTGTTTCCTGGAATATTAACAAAGAGCCTGAACTCATTATGTCAAAACAGTTCATCTATTTAGAAGTTCTGTCCATTTTTATAGTAGTTGTAATCTATAAAACCAAATTCTGAAGTTTGGGAGTGTTTTCCAGCTTTCTTTGTCTGACGTTTGTATTGAAACATAGATGGCAATCATGTATAGATTTAGTTCATTTAAGCTTCATTAAAAAAATCATCCTTTATATATTCAAGAGGGTAATCATGTAATAATAATAATAATACAGACTTGACCACTAGGTCTTCGTTAGATTACTATTTCATTAAATTCTAACTTCAGACCTAGTACTCCGCATTAGATAGGTGGTGGGTGAGAAAAGCCTGTATTCTTTGATCCCCTTCATAAGGTTTTGTTTTGTGTTGCTGATCCTAGGGCTTGAATTCAGGACCTGGGCGCTGTCCCCGAGCTCAACACTAGTACACTACCATTTGAGCCACAGCTCCACTTCCACTTATTTTTGGTGTTTCATTGGAGATGAGTTGCATGAACTTTCCTTCCCAGGCTGGGTTTGAACTATGATCCACAGACGTCAGCCTCCCAAGTAGCTAGGATTACAGGTGTGAGCCACCTGCATCCAGCTTCCCTTCATATATATAAAAATTTGGTTGGTACTGAGGATTGTACTCAGGCCTCGCACTTGCAAGGCAAAAGCTACACCACTTAAGCCATGCCTCCAGCCATTTTTTTGTGTTGATGAGTTTCAAAC